GGCTTTGGGAAAGAATCAGTTGGAGGTGAAGGACTGATCAGCAGTGAAATCACAGAATGTAGATATGGAGGATGTGTAAGAACTGCTCGACTGGAGAGGTTGCAGCATTGAAGCGACGCGTTGCAAAGGGAATAAAAAAACATTTGTAATGTGTTTCTGTAGTCACGAGGAAGACTGACACCCGCTGAGAGCGTCTGTGCGGCAGGGGATGAGAAAAAGTTGAGAAAGATTATGAAAGGGATGAAGATTTGCTGTGAAAATTAATATTTGAGTTGGTGTATTTGTGTCTCTGTGTGTGTGTGACAGAAAGTGTGGCGGTGGGTCATATCAGGATTTCCATAATATCTGCCTGCCTCCAAGAGAGGTAATTAAGGTGTATCTATAATTCAGCAGTGGAGGAAGCAGATTGTTGGGGAGGGGGAGGAAGACCCCATGTGACTCCGTTAACAAGCTGTGACAGAGTTCAGCAGAGACAATCATAACAGCGAAATAAATATATTCACTGACTGCAACGATGACTCACCGACTGTCTGATTATCTAATTGACTGAGTGGTTGTTGACTCCCTGACTGACTCACCAGCTCATTCACCCACTGGTACATTGATTGATATTGTAATTGATGAACGGCTACAGGCAGCCAAAACCGTGCAGGGTGCATTTATCATCTCAAAGGCATTTTTTATGCATTCGCCAAATTTGCTGCATCCCAATTTATTTATTCTTGTTAGCCATAAATGACTGTTTGAAATGAGTTGCTGCTGCACTACACACACACATACACACACACATTTGGGTTGTAAATGTTCTCTAAATCCTCGGGAGCTGTATCACTGATGAACAACACCAAGGCTTGACACAGCCAGACCAAATCTGTTATGCAGATTGATTTCAGAAAGTTTGGACAGCAAAATAACCCTAACATGTTCTCAACGCTTGGTCAGTGGCCATACATATTAACATATGGCGCTCTACGTACCCTCCACCCAGCCAACATTCGTATGTGGGGCCCATGTGGGTACAAAATGGGCTGAAAAATGGGCCCTCTATGGGATTGTCCATGGGCTCCATATTGACCCCATGCCAACTGCCCACATAGGTAGGTATACCCAAGTGGGCACATAGGTAGGTCTACCCAAGTGGGCTCCACATTGGTTATGCTAGGGCTACCTGGGCAGCAACTGTGATGGGTCCAAAATGGGAACCTTATCTGGTGCTCACTTGGCTAAGGTTGAAAAACCACATGAAATGCAATTTTTGCAAATCAGATCCAAACCTCATTTGGGGGGTTGTTTGAAATAAGATCATTGGATATTTATTAGCAGGTGCTAGGATAGCAGCCCATCTTTGACATGCCAAACAGCTCTGGAGAAACTGCTTCATTCTGTGTTTTAATCACCAGATTTGTTTGTTTTTGAGAGGAAGAGACCTCTGCAGATAATTTGGCTACCGGTAAAAACGTCTTGAACAATGAACATTGAAGGAATTCTAACCAGGAGAAGTTTCAGCTAGTTGCAATCTGCAATCCTCACCGCTTGATGCTACTAAATCCCCCCTCTATGTGTCTCAGTCTAGATGATCTGGCTGCTCAAACCGGGTTTCAAAGTGTCTTTAGCGTCACTCTAAACACGACACACAATGACGTCCAATCCAGAGTGACTGAGTAGAATCCATGCTGCTACTAGCAGAGCGCTATGGAGGACAGCATGCTGAAACAAATGTCAGCTGGTAGGCTACTTTGGAGGGAGGCCTCTGTACATGCAAAGCGTAAGGAGACAAGGACTTTGCTTTTCGTGCTTCTGCATTGGAAAGGCATGTAACCAGCATGGTTACGTATTAACTGAAGCCTTCATTGTCACCGCAGCAAAACATGCAGATAGGTTGATGTCTGGACAGACAGATCCAATTTGATTACCTCCAAATAACAGTGCTGATGGTGTGTCTTTAAGATCTGATTTGAGAAGCAAGAGAAACAAATCTGATTTGCTTGCAGTCTGAATGCAGCCCACAAGTCTGCAGCCTTGGCTGTACTGAGGCACAGCAGTGCTTTCAGCTAGATGCTAACATTAGCATTCAAACATGCTGACAATGACAGTTCTAACATGGTGATGCTGAGTAGGTATAATGTTTACAATGTACGCCATCTTAGTTAAGCACATCAGCATGCTAACACTTACAATAAGCACTAAACACAAATTACACCTGAAGCTGATAGCAATGTAAGAATTAAAATTTGACAAACAGCAAAAAATCAATTAAAACAGTCGATTTAAATAAAAAATCTAGGTATGTGTTTTGTGTATTAAGAGGTTGTTGTTTTTTTGCATTCACACATTGAGCTAAACAGCTCCATCAGGACAGTGGGGGTGCAGTTTGATCAGATTTGACTGGCAGAAACCAAACAACCCACAAACTGATTGTGATTCAAATGATGCTTAACTCTATGCATTGCGGATTTCCAACACAGCACGCCCACTTCAAACCTGCAAGAAATACAGAAATCTGTCATTCAAAATAACTGAAACTGCTCTAACATTAGCAGAGAGTTCATGTCAGACCCCATCAATAATAATGACTGAGAAAATGGGTTTTCAGGGCCTTTAATAACTTTATTACTCAAGTTAATCCATACCAAAATGTTGCATGATCCTGAATTCAATGGTTAAACTGTTTACTTGAAGATGGCATACACAAGGGAGAGATGGTGAGTAGGTGTGAGTAAGTGAAGGCCCGAGCTTTTTATTGATGTAGGTAAATAAGTCGTTGATGCAGCGGAGGAGACGGTAACTTAACACTGAAAAGCCGGCTTTTGAATGTCCTTTAAAATGTAAGTCATCTCAAGGTCAGTGTCACTTCAATGACTTTATACTGCACAAGCAATGTATTAAAGATCCTGATCTGAAAACATGCCCACACAGAGCAGATGGGAACATCGTCCCACAATGACAAAGATCTGTTTTCGACCATTAGTGAAGCAAATGAAACAAAGATGATAAGGAGATTTAAAATGCTTTTTAAAAATCTTAAATTAAGTAATGAGTGTAGAAATCAAATTGGAACTTTAAGATTTAAGTGTAGTAATCGAGTTACTCCAACAGCACTGGATTTAGTGTTGTTCATCAGCAACAGTAATGGTGCTGTGATTTTTATGAGTAGCTGCAGTGACAGAAAAAAAAAATACTAGAACTTTAATCATATTTCTTTGGTCATAAAAACAAAGATTGTGTGCCCCAAAAAGAAGACAGGAAATCAAGCACAAGTCAGACAAATAACATTATGAAATTTTAGCAGTGGGAGGTTACACATCAGATCACAGTTCAGCCGAGCCGAACGCCAAGAAACGTGTGCGTGGGCAGCTCGGCAGTCACGAATCACCACAGTCTTCTTTAAAATTGTGAGTAATCTATTATGTCTACATCAAAGATCAGACTTTTCTGTGGGGTCCCTGCTGAATACTGGCTTCTCCATCTGCATGTTAACACACACACACACACACACACACATGGATCAAAGCCAAATTCATCTGACAAAAAAGATGCAGCTAATCTAATCTGTCTACAACACACACACAGGTATGCAGCATAATCTCATTAACAGGTTTACAGTGTACCTGCAGATGATTAGTTGAGGTGTAATCCAGATGATCTGACAAGTGTAAAGAGATCTGTCACAATAACACACACACACACACACACACACACGGAACACACACACACGGAACACACTTCTCTGACATCTTTTTTGGAGCTACGAGTCCAGGAATGTTGTCATAACCATATTATTTATTTATTTTTTTTAATCCATCTATTTCACAATATCATAGAAGATCCATGAAGATGCAAATAAGGACAAGCGCAACACTGTCACAGCCTTCAACAACCAAGAGCAACAGAGAGAGAGAGAGAGAGACAGAGAAAAAGAGACAGAGAGAAGGAGAAAAAAGAGACGACGAAGAAGAAGAAGAAAACATAAAAAACATTTCACTATTATTTCGGGCATGAGAGCCCAGGCAGGCACTTTACAACTGGGTGAAAAATCACATGTGGGGCCGATGTCTTGAGGTAATAAGTGAAATTGTATTTGAACTACAGTTCACTTTACTGCACAGTGTTGACTGGATACGTGTTCAGTGTGGTTGGCCAAAGTGGGAATCAAACCCTCACCCCTGACAGTGTCCATCTTCTCTAAATATTATTCCTATGATGTCCACTTTGAATTTGCACTGAGCTCAAAACAAGACAGTAAGCAAATCCAAATTGTCTTGTTTATGTAAAAAGATGCAAATTATGAGAAAAATAATTATCTCACAGTCTCCCAACTGAAAACTAAACTGATCCCAGATACTGGAGGACATAACATCACAGTCTAAAGTAATATATTTTGCCCTCTACACAGTAGCAAACTAATTTATAGTAATACTGGATTGTGGCTAAAAGTCAAGCAGATTATTGACTTGGACAACCTGGTGTTCCTCAGACTGAAATCGTGGCTACTTCGAGGTGCTCTAATGAGGAAGGTAAACATCATACATCATGTTTTTTCTCAGGATAAATATAGCATTTGCATCTTAATCCAGCTGTTGGGTCCCAATCATATGGAAGTTACTTCAGTTTCTATAAAATACAATTTACAGTGTTGAAGGTCCAACATTAAACAACTTTGCTGCACCATTTTTCCCAGTAGATAACAAACTCTACTTTCATTTAGAGTGCAGAATTACACTTCTTTTGACAAGTAATCTATCTTCCAAAGTGTGGGATCATTTTGAGAAGGTGAAGGACAAACCCAAGGTGATATGTAAACTCATCTTCATTGGTCGACTACAAACATGACGTATCATCTGAAACATGGAAGTAGCTACATGTCCATTAGCCCACAGCGTCATTAACAGGCGGCTCGCTCAGTGTGTGACGTGCACTTGGAGATAAAATATAGGCCTATATTAATGAAGGTTCATTAGTACGGTTTTGTATTTCTCTGTAATGTAGCACAGTGTTAACAATGTTACTGATACTATTCTTTCTCACACCTTCAACTCAAACCACCAGAATATATCATTTAATATTTAAATCAATATCGTAAAGATGCGGACGACTAGTCGACTAATGACCCTAAATGATGACTATTGGTTGACCAGGAAAATAGTTAGTTGGGTGCAGCCCTACATGGAACTGGATTCAGCAGTATTAGATTGTGGGGAAAAAGCCTTTTGCACCCAATGGCATCATGTGATGGGCGTGGAAGTTGTAATTCCATGTTTGGCCACTATGTGTAATAGGTTTCAAGTCCCTGTCCCTGGGGGCTTGGTAAATGTAATATTTTGTAGTAAAAGAAATTTTCAGTCAAAAGTGGTAGTTTTGGCCACATAAATGATCATAACATGGACTGTCACGACAGAAAAAAATGCATCAGGCTTGAAAACAAATAAATGCATCCTAAAATTTGCTCATATTTTCTTGTTTGTTTTTTCGATCGTTTGCAAAGTAAGTGAAAGTACCTATTTTTTTGTTCTGATCCTCCAAGTCAGATGTTGAATGCAAAATGGCCAACATAGGAATAATCTAATTCATACACCTCCGTCACTGTCAGGTATTCTGTGAGGATCTGATTTACCAAAAAGACATCTGTGTGTTTCAGAGTGTGGGGCAGCGTGAGGACACCAACACTGTAATTTACACTTTTTGAGTTTGTTTCTTTAGTGAGAGGAAATGTGACTTCACTCATGCAAATACACTGACATTCCACCTGTTTTACATTCAGGAATACAACACAGTTTTACCAAACCCGCTCAGGTTCGTCACAATTTCAGTGTCTGATTGGTGCTTGGATAGACATCAAGTGTTTCTTTCAGGGGTCGATCGAGAGCGCTGCTTTGTCTGAGCTGCAAACAAAAATGCTGCAACTTAACTTTGCAGGGCTGTGAGGTGTGTGAGAGGCTACAGCAGGAGAGGAGCAGACTGGCACAGAGCAACATTAGCAGAGATACATTACACAATATACATTTATAAGACCACTGTTTTACCAGATCATGGTATGCAATGTAGAAAACTTAACAGTACACAGACGTTACTCAACAGGATCATATACAGTTAAAAATCAACAAAACTCATTTTGTTTCCCATTGAGTGTTTAAATCAATATGATAGCATCTCAGAATTCAGTTTGAGCATTAAACACAACCAACTGGACACAAGACGAGAACTTTGTGTCACTGCATTGTAAAATTAAGAAACCCTTAGATATGGCATCAGTAAAGGTTCATTCCATAACTGTTTTCAAGCCCTCTGCCTGAATAACCACACACGGTTAACTGGCACAAAAGAGAGGGTGGCACATTTCGCCAAAAATCAATCTATTATGGAATACTTCCATCAGAGTCCTGTTCATGCCAGAAGTTGACCCACCTATGAAGCCTTCACTAAGGTGATTCTGTGACTAAACTCACTGTATCTCACTGCAGAAGTAAACACATGAGCGTGGACACCAACACTAAAAACAAAACAGATACACCGGTCTTAACAGCTTAATCCCTCCATGGCACATTTCAGTCCACCAGTAAGCCTCCCATCCCCGTCAAATATACTGTAAATCCCGATGTGATACATTGATATACATCATCGTCTCCTAAACTGACCTATCAAACACCACAGCCACCTTTGGCTGACCTCTCCCAGTCACCCCTCACTGTTTGGGGCTGGACGGGTTGGTTCTCTGGGCAGCGTGGCACGGGTCCAAAGACTCCTTGGTGGCTCCACCGTACACATCTACGTCGTGGTCGGTCCAGGGGGCGATGTTGCCCAGCGCTGAGGAGCTGCACTCGGCCACGGCGGCGACCTCTGCTGGCTTCAACACCCGATCCCACAGGTTGAACTGGGAAAGCTCCCCGACCAGGGCCTGGGAGGCATCAAAATGCCCGCCCAGTGTATCCTTGGGTAGAAGAGTTGGAAGAAAACAAAGGGTTAAATGTCAGAATGCCAGCATGAATAGCCAGGAGACCAAACTTTGCTGGGATTATGTACAAACAAAGGTTCCCTCAGTCTATTGTTTTCTGCATTTCCACTGGGGAAGGACTTGTGAAGACTAAAGCGGGATTTATACTTGTGCGGCAGACCCTACGCCGTAGCCTACACATGACGCCTATGCCATTGTGAACATTTATACTTGTGCGGTGGTGTGTCTGTGTCACTCTGCAGTTACACCTCCAAAACACTAGTTGGCAGGGTTTTTGTGAAATGCTTTAAAGTTTAGTTGATTCAAAACACACCCCAAACACACATTAAACATGGCTTAATAGAGACAATTACAAACACAAGTACACAATTTGGCTTCACTATAACTCGCAGCATTCACAGACAAACACTTGTCTTTATCTGGACACATTTTCCCCACAATTACAACATGCTGATGTCATTAGCACAAGCCTATGGCATTTTACACTGTAGCTATAAATTAGCCTAACGGCTAGCCAACTTTTCCTCTTCTCATATGAAGCCAGGGACAACAGCAACATTTAACAAAGGTAACATTACAAAATTTGGCTCCATTACAACTCACAAGGTTCACTGACAAAACAACTGTCTTATACTAAACATGTTTTCCAAACAAATACAACATGCTAACGTTATTAACACAAGTCTATGGCATTTTACATTGTGTAAATTAGCCTAGCGACGAGTGGGGATTTCCTGTGTTCATATGAAGCCAGGATAAATCCCAAACTGTAAATACCTTAAGACTTAAAATGCTATTTTGTGAAGGCTTTTTACACAATTTATTGTTTCTTATCTGTGAAATACAAGTAAATAAAAACTTCATTTCCACTGAGGGAAATGGTTTCAGCTTACAAATATAAACAGGAGGTCTGTGTCACTGCAATGTGTAGTTACACTTCTGGGGAGGTGCACGGCAGGCCACGGCGTAGGTTTTGGCGCAGGCTCTACGTCAACACAGAGCCCACATTGTAGGTACGGCGTCAATTCAATGCAGAAGTATAAATTCCGCCAAAGCAAATTAGTCTGCTAACGTATGAAAAAGCAATTTGACAGGCCGAGAGCTGCTGGTGCTCGCAGGGGTGAACACACTCTGCAGCTTGCCACTCAGTCTGTCTGCCTGTTTCATCTAAAAAAACAAACTGAAAAGAAATACACCTTAGGTTTTGTCTCACTGTGACAACATTTACTGCTGCATAGTATCGCTGCAGGTTGGATGTAATGAATGAAATGAAGCAGAGGAAAACAAACTGAGAGTGTCTGTCTCCACAGTAAATCCTCTGTTGAGCGTTTGATGTTAATTCATTTGTGCTTTTGAATGTAATTGCTGTGAAACAATCATAAAATAACATTTGCAGTGCTGTCTCAGCCCGCCCGTGCTGTGCTGTCACCTCACTGACACTATCTCTTTTTCACTCTGTCATTTTCAAAATGATTCAAGAAGGCAAATGCAAAGCCTAACTTTACTTGTAATGTTATCAGACAAAGAAATATGTTCTCTTCTCTTTCTAAACTGGTCCTGAATTGATACTAAACTATTTCCTTGTTTTATGAAGGACATCGTGCACGAGTTGAGGCAGTGTTGTGTGTTTGACCAATCATCCCTACTAACCCAAACCTGAAAGTTCCTGTACTTTCAGAAAGTACAACCCCACAAACAGAGACTTTCTAGGGGGGTAAAATAATGTCCCCTGGAACTTAAGACTCTCTGCAGACTCAGAGACCATCGCCTCCTGGTCAAGGTTTTTGAGCAGAATATGGATTAAAAGAACGGAGCTCTTAAAACAGAAGCTCCAAACTATATGATTGGATAGTTTGGTGTCAGAATAATCAGAGAGGTGAGTTCACAACTGGGAAAATTCACATGATTGCCCCTTCAAGTTGGAACACCAATATAAAGAAAGTTGATGTCGTATTTACAGGAACGTTGATGGTAATAAGCTTTATATCAATTCACATGCTGCATGTTAATTTTTGCTCACACGTAATTTGCAATATATTATGTTGTAACTTTTATCCACAGAGAGTGACCTAGATTAGATAGTAAAGTTATTAATTAGCATTAGTTAGATAAAGAAATATTTTAGTAGCTTCAGGGGATGTACTCGTGTTCCAACAAAACTGGGACAAAATCAATTGTAATATAAAGCTTCCAACTGTTATCGACCTGTTGATTAAATGGTCTAAGCAATAAAATACGACCTTATTACGTAAAGCTAATGAACACACCAAAGTTGGAAGAATGACTTCCCTACACGGGAAATGGGACCATTTGAGGAGCACATGAATGCACATTTGACCCTGGTCCCTGCAGTCGAAATGCATTGAGTTCCTCAAAAGGTTCCTAGTCCCTGGGGAGAACTCCTGCGGTCAATAAGGGGCTTTGTAGTCCCTTTTTCAGCAGGGATTGAATTGAATTCTCGGGCTGTAGGTCCTGACCCCCAAAAGGGTGAAGGTGGACATTATCAAATCTGAAATACTCCACAACAAATCTAGTGAAAACAAGGGTCTCTCGACAAAAAGTATTGCAACAAAAAAAAAGTATATAAGGGAATATATGTGGCCCACAGTGTGCTGTATTTATGAGTGTTATATGTATTTGTGCACCAACAGATCTGAGACAAAATCAATTGTAATATGAAGCTTCCAACTGCACGATTTTTTCTTAAATACTCAAGAACTCTTTTATATACTTCCCACAACAAATGTGGTGAAAACAAGGGCATCTTGACAAAATGTCAGGTTTTTAGGTTTCCCTCCATGAGTTTGGCGAACATTTTAAATAACCAGAGATCAGTACATCTTGTGAGTTATTATAGATTTTACACTTTGATATTAAATATATAAATATAAATATATAAATATTTTATAGTACTATACTTTACCAGATTAATCCAGATAGTATATTGAATTCATTATGTTATCCTAAAATGCTATAACCCTCCTCAGGTAATTGACGAACAGTAACTATTTTCAACATTTTTCTTGGTTAAATAAGAAAGAAAATGGCAGCTAAAGCTTCATCCATGCGCACAAAATATTGTGATTTGACAATTCCCCTCTTGATAAGATTAAAAAATGTTTATTCCCCTTCAGAGCCCCCTTGAGAGAGGGATGTCCTGGGATTTTCCTCATCAAATCTGCTCGACACATCCACACAACTGCAATTCATCATTCATCTTCAAATGAGATTAATAAAGTACTCGCTCTTGATCTCGAAAAAAAAAAATCCATTACATCAAGTTGTTGCATCACTGCAGCATCTTGCAACTCCCAGCTCTCTGCTCTCTGCTTTTTATCCTTTATGTGAGGATGACAGGCTGCAGAATGAGCTCTGGGCTGTTCTTTTGACACCAGGGAGGAGGGATAATGTCAGATTTCATAATGGTTATGTAATGTGGGCGTCTCGCTAATGAAAGAGAGGCAGCCCAGTGTGAGGATAAACACCATTCGGTCTGTTCATGTGTGAAAATCTAATGGTGGTCCCTTAAAATAGATCTTGCCATCTTTTTATCCATGTATCATCCATCAGTCCATTCATTCATGCATCTATCGGTCTGTCATCCCTACATCCATCCATTTATCTGTCAGACCATGCATCCATCCATCCGACCAGCTGTCTGTCTATCAAGCTGTTTGTTCAACCATCCATCATCCATCCATTTATCTCTATAAAGCCCCTCTCCCATTGGACACTAACACCCACTAACATCTGGCTTTTGTCTGAAATGAGAAAGGATATAATCCTCATGAACAAAATGCAAATGACTCCACGGAGTCTTGGGTATTGAACGGCTCCAGCTCCAATCGACTCTTATCAGCAGTGATGGAAATACAACACCAGGGTAGACAAGTTAATTTTTACCCCTTTTCTGGATCGTGACGTGCTGCCAAAAATTATGGTCCATCTCCACCCAAGCAGCACTCAAACATCGTCAATTGAAAAAGTCCATCGAGTCTGAAAGAAAGACTCGATGGATGAATATCTGATATATAAAGGAAGTGACCACCATAACACTGCGTGTTCGTGACACCTAACGTAATACACCACAGAGGCATGCCAGACAAGTTTATAAACGAGACGAGAATTTCCTGTATCTGTGTCTTGTGGGTTTTACCACTGCCCCACCCCGTCAGGAGACAAATGGCAATCCTAAGTCTATTAATTCCAACGGGAGAAGTGAACGTTAGCACAGAAATGATGGATACTTTCGCCCCATAGTCGCCCAAGTAAATATTGGACTCGTTTTTCATCAGCCACAACACTCTGACACTAAAACTACATTTTTCAGACAAATGAATCAGGAGAAAATTAAATTTGTTCTCTGACTGGGCATCACACTCTTGTGAGACCTGGCAACACAGAACCTCTTCTCTCTGTCGGAGCTGAAACCACAGTCCGGCTTCACTGCAGTGCTGCCAACGTTGCTTTCAAACAGATAAAAAAAAATTGAAATAAATGTATACGTAAAACCATCAAGTAAAAGTTAAAACTGAAACAAAACGTGTGTTACTTTGCTTAATAACGAATACTGTTATTGTTATTTGTTTTTGGAGAGGGAAAAGAGAACATTATGAGTGATATATCAGTTAAAAATGAGCTGCAAAATAAGAAGCAAAGATTAAATTTGTACTGTATCTATTGTTGTATTGTTTTGAATCTGCTTTCATTTATCCGCTCGATGTTCACACTTCAAAACATGGTGAGGGGATGCGGGGTAGATACGGCCGCACCCACATAGTAGATTGAAGATCGACACCTTACCTACGCCGTAGCCTGACGTGCATCTCCCCAGAAATGTAACTACATGTTGTGGCGATGCAGACCTCCTGTCTATTTTTGTTAGCTGAAACCATTTCCTGCAGTGGAAACAAAGCTTTTATATACTTTAATTTCACAGATAGGCTAAGTAACAATAAATTGTGAAGACAATAAAGCCTCCAAAAAATAGCATTTTAAATCTTGTGTGTGATTTATCCTGGCTTCATATGAGCAAAGGAAATCTCTGCTCGTCGCTAGGCTAATTCATACAACGTAAAATGCCATTGGCTTGTGCTAATAACGTTAGCATGTTATATTTGTTTGGAAAACGTGTTTAGTATAAGACAGTTGTTTTGTCGGTGAACCTTGTGAGTTGTAATGGAGCCGAATTTTGTAACGTTACCTTTGTTAAATGTTGCTGTTGTCCCTGGCTTAATATAGAAACCTGCTAGCCACTAGGCTAATTTGCACAATGTAAAATGCCATAGGCTTGTGCTAATAACGTTAGCATGTTGTATTTGTGGGGAAAATGTGTCCAGATAAAGACAAGTGCTTTGTCTGGGAATGCTGCGAGTTATAGTGAAGCTGATTTGTGTACTTGTGTTCGAAACTGTCTCTATTAAGCCATGTTTAATGTGTGTTTAATGTGTGTTTTGAATCAACTAAACTTTAAAGCATTTCACAGAATCCTCTGCTGCCAACTAGTGTTTTGGAGGTGTAACTGCAGAGTGACACAGACACACCACCACACAAGTAAAAATGCTCACAATGGCATAGGGTCTGCCACACAAGTTTAAATCCTCCTTTAGCTTTATATCATTTCCTACCATTGGCGTAGCATGTAATTTGTTGTCTATCGTTATAGAGCATTTTTGGGCGTACATACTTGGTGGAAATATTGTATAATTCACCTGCTCCTGTCCCAGTATGAGGACCCCTCCTGGTTTGATGGGATGCCAGGCAGCCAGTCCCTCTCCCCTCCCCTTCATCTTCCCCCCCTGGTAGGCCTTCCACACCCCGTCCCTCAGGGTCCAGCTGACACAGATGTGCTGCCACTCGTCTTGTGGTAGGGACAGGGGCAGCTGCGCCACCTACAGGTCAGAGAATAAGGCGGTTATACCTTTCTTTACAAAAACACAGTGATTTCAAGTGAGCGACACATCAAGCTCACATTCTGATTGGATACTGGACAAGTGCGGGCAGTAATCAGGGTAGAATGTCGATACATTGGTGGTTTATGTCTGTGAAACGGCACCCAGGGGACGGTCCCAGCCTTCCTTCCAGCAGTTCCCCCACTCCTCTTTGCCATGGGAGCTATAAGTGTAAGCGCTATAAAAGGTAAGCATTAATGCACTATATAAAACACGGGCAGAAGGCTTGCCTCTGTGCCGTCTCTTTTCTTCGGTGCCATTTGCTGTCAGCACTAAAAATGTGAAAAAATAAACATGGGCTTCTCATGCACTCAGCGCCATTTAATTAAAGTTTTTATTTTGGAAGAAAAAGATTTGATTCAAAGTGATATTTATTTGTATTTATTTACTGTGGAATGTTAATGTTCTTTTGCTTCTTTGGTTTTGTGGCTTTTAAATTTTAATGTGTTGTTCAGGGGCACCGTCTGTTTTAGTTCTGCCTTTTCTGTACAGTAGCAACGGGAATAAATGTTTCTTACCCAAGGCTCATTAAATGGGTGGTAATGCTTAGAGAAGGATAGACACTCACGTGCACACCTTAGGCTACTGTGCATCCAGAGAACCAAAGCTAATATAAGCTCCACATCATATTGGATCAAACAATAATTGGATGCTGTGACACCTTCAATTGTAATGTTTGTTCTCTTCGCTGCTCATGTAAGGGGGTATGAAAAAGTTGGTCTGTCACAAGAGCGAACGTGTTTTCATTGCTCATTTTAATCAATGAATTACAACGAACCACCAAGTTGCTTGCGCTGCTCTGTGGAGCAGCATAATGAGCTGGTAATGATTTCCTTGGCAGGCTATTCCGCTTGAGTGATTATACGGAAACTACAGGGTACAAAATATTCATTCTTTTCACCAGGAGAAGCCATTCATTTACACACTTAATATATGATCTTGATGAACTTCTGACAAGCACACCGAGTTTATATTTTAATCACTTGAGGAACCCACAGTTATTAGAAGTTATGCAAAGAAAAAAAAACACCCATGTACCTTATCATTGATGAGCAGCTCCACAGGGTTGTGGACTCCCTGTAGCAGCACCAGCTCATTGGGCTGCCCCGGGACAGAGTAAGAGAAGGGGGTCCCGATGCCTCCTTCTTTGGCCTTCAGCCACACGCAAGCAGTGAAAGCGTACATCTCTGTTATCTCTTTTCTCACCAGGCCGTACATGTAGTTGGTTCTCATGGGGAAGGAGAGGACAAAGCCATCGGGGAACGACGGCTCCGTCAGCGCTGTGGAGACACAGATGAAGGCGATTAAGAGAAACAGTCAGATATGGCTGACAAAGACAGAAAGTCTGGGAGGGACAATGCTTTAATGGCCAATTTATACAAAGACACTGGTATTGCTCCTCTCTCAGTTTGCGCACACACACACACACACACGCACGGTGCCTTACAAGAGCTCCAGCGCCACAGTTAATGATCAGCCTCTGTAACACTCGAGGCCACACTGCAGCTCTTGAGGCAAAGAAGATGTAGAGACTGTCGGAGAGTCTGGGAGAATGACAGATCTAAAAAGAGAATAGAGAAGTGCTTTTTCTTTCCTTTTTAACCTTCCTCTTTGCACCTCATGAACTCTCAATCTCTCCTCCAGACTTTCACTTCTCCTGCTATCAGACATCTCTGTCTCCTTTTCACAGTCGCTTATAACCACCAAAGAAAAACTAAGCTTCCGGTTACCAGGATTGTTCACGGCGGAGGAAATTTCACCAGATACAGCAGATAAAACTCCCCAAAGCCTGCGTGACACTTTTCCAAACTCAATAACTGCCAACCATGAAATAAGGATTGAAATATAAATGCCTGCGATAATGAAAATTTAGAGGTTATAAGTAAGAGCAGCGTTTAAGCTCATTTCTTTTTCATTTGCTGTATTTGTAATTTCAGCTCCGAGCTCTATTTGACATTTCCCAACCTTCAGCGTTCATTAATCATCTTATTTAAATCTACAGCTTATTCTCCACTGCTGTGATGACCCACTTCACCCACAGTGTTCATTAAAGTTTAATTTTAGCCTCCACTTGCCACGCTCTCATGTACGTCAGCTGGCGGTTGTTAGCCTCCCTGTGTGCATCACTTCACCCATACATCCGTCATCTATTCACCCACCGCCCCGTGCATTACTCTCCTCCTCCTCCTCCTCCCGCAGACTCACTGTGTTCCAGCTCAGTGACGCGGTGGTTGGCATTGTCGATGCCTTGGTTGATCTTCTCATGTTGGCCCTGCGTCTCCTTCCTCATGGCCTGACGCTCCTTCTCCAACAGCTTGATCTTTCGCTCCAGCTCCCCCTCCAGGTCCTCCACCCTCCAGGTGCCCTTTCCACGACCGGGGGAGCCCTTGGTTGGGGATTTGGGGGCAGGGGAAGCGGGGGAGGCAGGACGGCGACCCCCTGGAGGAGCCGCTGCAGGTGGGGAGGAGGCACTACCGGTGGGCGGGGCAGGAGCTTTGCCTGTGTTACCAGCCGGGCTGCTGGCACTGCCACTGTTACTGCTGCTGCCACTGGTACCCACGGATGTGTCGGTGAGGTTCAAGGCAGCGGGGCCTATCTCCGCCTGCAAGAGAGGCAGAGAGAAAAGAATTATAGTAGGTGTTTGAGACGATTTAAAGCTCACAGAGTGATCATAAAAGAAATCCTGTGGAGAGAAGAAAACAACTCGTCTGTTCATAAGAGATCTGTAATGGAATCAGCCAGGGCCAGGGTGCTGTTAGGAGTATATGTAGGCAAAGTATTCATAGAAGGGTTTTTGTTGGCATATATAACAGTAGTTTTTCAGTTTTTATGGCTCTTATGTTCATCTGGCTGTCGGCTGGTCGGCTCACTTTGGCCCAGAGTAAAATATCTCAACAGTTGGATGGATTGCTGTGAAATTAAAGACATTCATGATCCCCAGAGGATAAATCCAAATGACTAATCCCTAGGCTTTTTCCTCTAAAATATCTCAACAACAGTTGGATGAATTGCCATGAAATTTCATTCACATATTCATATCACCCTTATGATGAACTGTAACAATTTTGGTGTTCCCTGATTTTACATCTAGCGCCATCAACAGGTCAAAAATAAATATGTCCAATAATCCGATTTATGACCACAAAGTTGCAAAACTTGTGGCATAATCACCAACCTTAGCAGTACATTTTGTTAGCTGTTAATTTCCAAATTAGCACGCTAAACTAACATGGTGAACATGATAAAGATTAGACCTTTTAAATCCTGTTAGCATGCTAACGTTAGCTTGAAGCAACAGCTATCTTTTAGCAGTTGCAGGAAGAAAATGTTGGCGTTGCATGCTTCTGCAAACCACGAACACATTATATTTGTACGTTTCATATGTTTCAATCAAGGTTTCTAAAATGACGTAGTATATGAGCTGACTTTGTCATCAGGAGGTGAAGGTGATGGTGCCTACTGAGCTGCACTGTTCAAGACCAACTAACAACAAAAGTGGTTGTTTTTCAGCGGGTCAAATCTGTGTTTCCAGCAACTTTTTAGGCGCTCAGCAAAGGTGTTCTTCAGTGACCCGTCACTGTGTTTCCAGCGGATGTAGATCCATTAAAAGTATTTGTTTTGACGGAGACATTACTGCGATTTTTGCCAGGATAGTGGCACAAAACGCTTTTCCAGCTGGGATGATGCTTCAAAACCAGGTATTTTAAGCCGAAATTGATCTTTTCCTAGCCAGAACCAAGCGTGTCCAAGCGTTTTCCCTGGATCAATGTACAGTATTTATTTCCCTTTTATTACTTCTAATATGTATTTTTATTATTTAGATTTCCTGATCGCTTTGTGTACTCATTTATGTTGTATCCCTGGAGCCTCTTATGTATTAGTATCTTGGGAACTACAATTGGAAAAAAAAGTGTGGAGATGCCTCCCTGCAGGATTAGATAAAGAGCAACAGTCTATTTAAACACGTGGACATTTTGAGCTCTGCGTTTCTAAATGTGCGTTGACTCGATGTCCAATGATTATATTGATCATAGGTAGACTATCTGTTTGAAAGATTGTAACTGTCCCAATTGACTGTTTATGGGCAGAGTGGGGGTCAATATAACTATTTAAAGTACTGTATGCTGAAGGCAGAACATTAAAGTGGTCTTTAAATGGAGTATATATGTTAATTAAATAAAGGGAAAAATGTCAGTGCTCATTCTACTTATATGTGAATTGAGTGGATCTTCGTTCCTGGCTGCTCGCACCCTAGAAATCGAACATAAAGGCGGTAAGATGAGCCCATTACTGTCTTTGCAGGAGCATAAATAGAAGCATTTTACTATTCCTGTTAGTCATAGTGGTTTTAAACTGAAATGAAACTGCAGGAAGGGGAGTAAAATGACATCGCAGCAACACATTGGGAGGTGTTGTATTGATGATTATAGCTGCCCAGGAATAGCAGTATTAGTATTCATAGCAGAAGTTGAAAAAAGATGGTGTTGGGTGAAGCAGCAGTAAAGGGAGAGATGCAGCTATTAGTGAGGCTGCTGCAAGGGTGATATATAATATCAAGAGAGTTGCTGAGGCAGGGCTGGACCTGGACATCCAGGATATAAATTCACACTGACGGAGACAAGCTTGTAACTGACTGTGCTTGGAGAGGGCTGGCTGTGATGCAGCAGTGCGTGTGTGTGCGTGTGTGCGTGGTTATAATGTCTCAATCTCAGCACACACACACAAGCTGAGAACCTGACTCCCCTCCACCACCAACACCCCCACCACCACCACCACCACCCTCTTTCCTGTCCAGCCAGCTTCATCTTTTATTTATGTCTCTATCCTGCTGTCGGATGCGGAGGTAGAGGGTAGAGGCGGCTGACACAATGGGGAGGAGTGGGAGGGGTAGTAGCAGAGGGGTGTGAGGGCCAGCAGGTGGAAAGATTTCCCTTGGGTCCGTGGGGAGTTTGCGCAAGACATGAGGAACGCCTGTCACGAGTTGCTTGTCAGTGGAAATGTGAGGTGAAGATAAAAGAGGGAGAGGAGGATGAAGAAGGGGAGGGAGGGCGTTAGAGAGAGATCAGGGCACCAAGGATGATGAACATAAATCAACTGCACAGGCCTTTAAAGCATCTCATTACTTCTGCATATGGCCATGGGCTGTGGCACCACTTGTAATCTGAATCTTTACATTTTAAAATAAGAAATTATGAAAGGATTATTTATCCACTTTCACCTAGGAGGTCTTAAAGTGTACTTCACAGTGGATATCGACCTGACATTAGGACAACCGGCTGTTTAATGGACCATAAACAGGCCTAATTTGGTCTCTGGACAACACTGACTCACTTGGCTCATTCATGATTTTGATCCCAGCCCAAATCTCCTGCTGTCCAGCAAAACTCAAACAGGAGGGTAAACAGCGAGAACAACAGGTTTTTGCCAAAGTTTTTCCACCCTGTGTTTACAATCTCTCCACTTACCTCGAGTTTCTCAATGCGGTCCTTCAGGTCCATGATGGCCCTGGCCAGCTCCTCCACAGCCCGCGCCGTCTGCAGCTGCGCCGCGGCGGAGGAGCTCACATCGTCCCCGGCCATGATGCGGCGGTTGCCGCTCCAGACCCCGATGCTCCGCTCTGGGACGTTCCTCTCATCCTCCAGGCCGCTCTCACACTCGCTCAGCTTCCCTGTGAGCTCCCGGATGGTCCTCTGGTCCATGAGGATCTGGTCGTTCTGCTGCAGGACCATCTGACGGAGCTCCTCCGCGGTGGTCCGGAGATAAGTCCAGTCTTCATCCCCGGCTCCGTACAGCGGGTCGTCCGCCTGCTGTTGCTGCTGCTGCTGCTGCTGCTCCCCCCGCCGCTGCCTCAGGTCTTTCGTTTTGCATTCCCCGACCGGTACAGGTGTGCAGATCAACCGGCTGAAGCTGAACTGTTTAGCGGACCCACCGGCGGTTTCCTCCCCGAGGTTGAGCTCGTTCAGAGTGGGGACCTCCAGGCCGATGCCGCCCAGCCCGTTCTCCCCATCGTAGGACTCGGCGCCGTGCAGAGCGCCCAGCGGTCCGGCGTGTGCCACCGACCCGGGCTCCAGGGGCTCCAGCAGATTCTCCGACGCCAGGGTGCCGTTGTCGCTGAGAGGCGCGGCGCGTTTCCGGGGATAAACACTGGCTATGATGCAGATGACCGCGCCGAGGAAGGCCAGGGTGCCAGCTCCCACCAGCACCACCACGAACTTCATGATTACTGTGGAGATCGATGCAAAAGATTACGGCTCAGAGAAAAAAGGCTGACATGCACACAACTGAAAAATATCCTCTCTTCGGAGGCAGCATCACTCCGTACAGCACCGTGTCGGAGCACTGCATCACCCGAACATCATCATGATCTACTGAGCCGATTAACTAAACTCAGTCTGACATCTCAGATTAAAGCGCCAGAGCTGTTTTTGCTGTCAAAATGTGGCACTTACGGAGAGGAGATGTTTGCCAGGGGCGCTGCTGCTGTTTTCTTCTTGCCTCCTTGGTTTTCCACTGTGTGTAATATTGATGGCACCGCGCTGTCTGGACCAGAGATGCTTCCTCTCCGTCTCGGTGTTGCTAAGCTGCTCTCTCCTCCGTGCGTTACCATGGGGACCGAGGGGAGAGGAGGAGCAAGGCTGTGGGCATGCGTCAGTCAGAGCAGAGGTGAACCTCCAGCAACAGCGTGAACAAACAAGGCGGTGATGGATCGATGCGTGCAGTGTGTGTGTGTGTGTGTGTGTGTGTGTGTGTGTGTGTTAAACACAGAAAGAACAGAGAAGGTGAGCGAAAAGGGACAGTTTATAGCCTATGTGTATGGCATGTTTGTATGTAACTTTTTTAAAATTGTTTGACATGATTTTTATTCTTATTTTATTTCTATCACAGAAACATCAATGCAAAAATTTAGAGACAATAAAGAGATAGAAAACTAGTGGAAAAACAGCCTAATAAGTCCCTACAAATGTACCATTACATACCCTCACATATGCACCCTTACATGCTCAATGCACACCTTGCAGTGTACTGATATAGTCTAACCTTGTCAGGCATACAATAGGTGCTGTCTGCAGAAGTTATGAGGAAAAAAGGTAAAATACATTTACGGTGAAAGGGAAAAAAAAAGAGTAGTGTAACAGAAGAAGAAGAAGAATGAAGAACACTAAGAGCTGGGACCTTAAACACATTTTCACTGAGTAGGAGGAAGAACATGCTTTCCCCAAGAGGCAGTGCTAACTAAAACTCACCACTGACGCCAACAGAAATGACCCTGACACTGAAGTCCTTTGTGGCCTTGCTCAACAAACATTCTCACTCCAAAGCTTTTTCTTCACAGGGTGGATGAACCACTTTTAGAAAGTTTGCTCTTGATGTTAATCCAAATTGCAACGCAGGATGGATCCTCTCCTCTCTTGGTAGGGCGGTTCACCGTGCCCACGATCGGCCTTCTGCCAATCAGGGAGGTGAATCTGCTAATGAGCACAACATTAAAGGAAAACTTCAAACTCAGACACCTTGGATAAAATTCCAGGAGTTCTTTCTGTGATGAATGCCAGACTTTACTTTGTTGGTGAGCACACTTTCCATCAAGCTGTATGACTTGTACATTTTCTAAAATGCATTTCAACAACTTGAGTGATAATAATAGAGCATAGAGTCTTTCTGATCAGCCCAATCACAAAAATAAATGTTTGCATCATACATTGCAAAGTATGGATTGGTAATATTTGTAAATTTAATAGCACAGGGTTAGGAAAACATCCTGTTTTGGCTTGAAATACTCCTTGTTAAAAAATACCCGCTTTTGTTGCTTTAAACAAGGCTTGAAATGTCCTGAACTCTCATACTTAAAAAAACAAACAAAAAAAAATGCTTTTGTTGCTACAAACACTGCTGGAAATGTCCTGAAATCTCGTTAAAAAATACCCACTTTTGATGCTAGAAGGACAGCTGGAAATGTACTGAACTATCCCTAAAATATACCCACTTTTGTCGCTACAGTCACGGCAGGAAATATACAGAAATATACTAAAAATTTGCTTTTGAAGCTACATACAAAGCTGGAAATGTCCCAGATTCTTTTTTTAAAATTAGCCATTTTTGTTGCTACAAACATAGCTGGAAATGTGCTGAACTGTCCTTCAAAATTAGCCACTTTGGTCGTTACAAATGCAGCTGGAGATGTCCCAAACTCTCGTGAAAAAAATACCCTGCTTTTGCTGCTACAAACTCGGCTGGAAATGTCCTTAACACTTGTTCAAAAATACTCGCTTTTGACGGTACAAACATGGTTTGAGATGTCTCTAACTCTTACAAAAAATACCCACTTTTTGCTATAAACATGGCTGCAAATGTACTGAACCTTCTTTGAAAAATATCCACTTTTGTCGGCACAAACACGGCCGGAAATGCACTGAACTGTCCTTGAAAAAATACTCACTTTTGAAGCTGCAAACACAGCTGGAAATGTCCCAAACTCTTCTAAAAATTATTTGCTTTTGACGCTATAAAGACAGCTGAAAATGTCCCCAAGTCTTGTTAAAAAATACCCACTTTTGATGCTAGAAGGACAGCTGGAAATGTACTGAACTATCCCTAAAATATACCCACTTTTGTCGCTACAGTCACGGCAGGAAACATACTGAACTCTTGTTCAAAAAAAATTTGCTTTTGAAGCTACATACAAAGCTGGAATTGTCCCAGATTCTTTTTTTAAAATTAGCCATTTTTGTTGCTACAAACATAGCTGGAAATGTGCTGAACTGTCCTTCAAAATTAGCCACTTTGGTCGTTACAAATGCAGCTGGAGATGTCCCAAACTCTCGTGAAAAAAATATCCTGCTTTTGCTGCTACAAACCCGGCTGGAAATGTCCTTAACACTTGTTCAAAAATACTCGCTTTTGACGGTACAAACATGGTTTGAGATGTCTCTAACTCTTACAAAAAATACCCACTTTTTGCTATAAACACGGCTGCAAATGTACTGAACCTTCTTTGAAAAATATCCACTTTTGTCGGCACAAACACGGCCGGAAATGCACTGAACTGTCCTTGAAAAAATACTCACTTTTGAAGCTGCAAACACAGCCGGAAATGTCCCAAACTCTTCTAAAAATTACTTGCTTTTGACGCTATAAAGACAGCTGAAAATGTCCCCAAGTCTTGTTAAAAAATACCCACTTTTGACGCTAGAAGGACAGCTGGAAATGTTCTGAACTATCTATAAAAGAATACCCCCCTTTTATCAGTACGGACATGGCTGGAAATGTTTCAGACTTTTGTTAAAAAATACCAGCTTTTGTCACTACAAACGCAGCTAGAAATGTCCCCAAATCTCGTTAAAAAATACCCACTTTTGTTGCTACAAGCACAGCTGGAAATATGCTGAAGCCTGCTTAAAATGACCTGGACTTTTGTTAAAGAAATACCTGCTTTGTTGCTACGATTGCGGCTGGAATTATTCCAAACTCTCATGAAAAACTACCAGCTTTCATTGCCATAAACAGCTGGAAATGTACTGAACTTCTACCTGTTTCTACCAGATTTTATAGCAATACATCTGATAGTTCAGATATTTTAGTTTTTAACCAAAGTCATGGCCCACCCGACTGACATTGCTATCCTTAGAGCCAGACCGCCAGCAGGGCTAAAAGGTAAATGTAAAGCACAGAGCATCTTGTGACTGCATTGAATTTTAGTCTATTGAGGAACTACTGATGCAGCAGAATTCAGTATCTCTGCCTCTCATCTGATTCACTTCTCATACTTTTGATTGCTACATTTCAAGGCAAGTCTATAGGGATGCTGTCGCTCTTTGAGTTTGAAGGACTGATGCTTTAGAAAGCTCAGTTCTTTTCCTGACATAACCTAACCTTGTGAAACAAAATTTTGTTTTTCAGTAGGACACATCTCAACAAACTTTACATGAGTTTTTAGAGTGAAAAGGCTGAAATATTTGAAAAACTGCAGAGAAAAAGCCTCTTCCCACTTAGCTAGTTCATTTTTCCTCCAAAAACATTTTTCTACTTGTAACTTGGTGAGCTCGGAAATGAGGTTTAATTTATTGTGGACCACAGTGTTCACATTTTATCTGGCAGAAAGAATAGTTCAACATTTTAGGAGGGACACTTATTCACTTTCTTGCCAAGAGTTAGAGGAGATTTCCTGACTCTGAGAGTGGTATCAATCTTCTCTCCAACTCTCAGCAAGAAAGCAAATAAGCAGTATTTTCCAAAATTTCAAACTATTCTATCAATGTTATGATATGAATGCAAAAGCAGAATTCATCTCTGCATTGCAACAGCTTCAGAAAGCGGTGGTTTTCGTGCTCAAGTTGAACTGTTCAGAAACAGCCAATGGTGGGCAAAATACTCAAGACATTTTATTTAGGTGAAGTGAAAGAAGAAATGCCACAATATAAAAATACTCTGTTACAAGTAAAAGTACTGCATCCAAAGTCTCACTACAGTAAATATTTATTGTATACATTTTTTATACTGCTGGGTATCTTAAACACCTTTGGTCCTCGCATTTCTGTGGATGCCCCTTTACACACTCCACCCATCTAAACATTGTTATAGACCAAGTACCCCCACTGATTGCAACAGTACCCCCAATGGCAGTAGCCCCCCAGCAATGCAGTGCACCTTGCCATACCAGAAAAACTGCTCAGTAATGGCCCAATGAACGTGACAATGAGCTCAAGGCATCGACCTAGCATTCAAATTCCCCACATCATTCAGATCATTCATCTGTGGGGCAAACCGGAACCCCGGAGGTCCTTTGTCCAGGCCTCAACAGGCCAGAGCCAAGGCTGATCTGCGGTGGGGCATCTGCCCTGTCGAGGCATGGACACAGGACCTCTGGGGGTGTCCTGTGTTGTCTGGCACCAAGGCATTGTCGAAGGATCCTTTTAGTCCTGTGGGTTGCAATGTAAGGTACCAGCATGCCCAATGGATGTTCGATCGAATTTGGATCTGGAAAATTTGGAGGCTAGGTTGACGCCTTGAGCTTAGTCACGTCTGTGGAGCACTTTTTGTGGTGTGGCATGGTGCATTGTCCTTCCTAGGGGGCGCACTTCCATCAGGGAGTGCAGTTGCCAATAGGAGGGTGCACTTGGTCTGTAATGTCGTTTAGGTGGTTAGAGCATGTCAAGTGGCACATGCATGAATGACAGGAGCCAAGGTTCCTTAGAAGAACATTGCACTGTAACAAAACAATCAGTGTTATTCACTTCACCAGCCAGTGGTTTTAATGTTTTGGCTGATCAGTGTACATCATCACTCATTAGCCGATTTATATTTTGTATTAGTCACTAAGGTCTAAAGTTATAAATAAATGACTGTCGTGGAGTTACAATCACAACATCTGTAGTTAAGAAGAAGTATAAAGTGGCATAAAATGGAAATAAAGTAAAGTAAGCACCTCAAAATTATACTTAAATAGGCCCACAGTATTTGAGTAAATGTACTTAGTTACATTCCATTGCTGCAAAAAGTATATGAAAATAAAGTGTATGAAAATATACAGTTTGTCTTGAACTGAAGCTTGAACATCCACCATGCTCACAGACTCAAAC